CCTGAAAGTTCTGTCGCTGGAGTGGGATAGGACGTCTCATCGACACCAAATGCGAGGAGAATCCTACCAGGCTCCTCCCTGCGAAAGAACTTCATCCATATACTCATCCTGAAACCAGGATTTTGTCTCTGGAGGCGCTTCAAAATGATGTCCGTGTCATCCGGGAGCCCGTACAACACAGCCATCACCTTGGTTACTATCGGGACGTGAATCTGAACTTTCCGCGACACGCCATCCCAGGTCCTCTCCAACCAGCCCAAGGTCCACTGGTCCTCGCATTCGGCCACGATGGCACTCTGCGGATTCCAGCGGAACCCTGCCAGCCGAGGAAAGGGCCCTCCCTCCATCTGGTCTACGACTGCATTCAACATGCATGAGGGCCCGGCTTGTTGGTCCCTCTGACGAGGAGCTCAGAAAGGTTTTATCTGAAAGTTACACACATGGCTCCCAGCCCCTTCCCAAAAGAACGGAGCCACCACTCGGAGGTCGCCCGGTATCCGAGGGGCACCGTTATCGAAACTGCACCCCAGTGCCACGCAGTCATCGGCACGGTCGCTAACACCTTGACTTGGGAGGTTGGTCCGCGGCGACGACCTTCGTCGCTACCAGTCTGGGTTTTAGCCCCGACGAGCCACTTATAATCGTCACTACCCACACCGAAGCACGTACGATCATTCAGGTGTCTGTATTGGATTTCCCCTACTCGCCACCCGGGGACGACCCCGATGGGTGCTTAACCACACGGGCTCAGAGCACTTCACTTCTATCTAATATATTAAAGGGGTAGAACAATATGCTAGTTATAATAATTGGAACTATTTTCAGAAAATTTGGGTATACTTCGCAGAATAACTACAAACATTAACTTAGCAAGGGTGTTTATGGTTGTCGCCTACTATTTCTATAGTTCGCGTCTTTGAAAAAAGCAAACTGTGAATTTTCTGGCGCAGGATAAAATTGGAATTGTAAGGTATATAGTATTTTTTTCTTTTTTTTAAATACCATTAGGTACTTACATTGGATCAAAGAGAAGTATTTTTGGCTGTATTTCAAAAATAGAAAAAATGTAATATACTATGTTTGGATTCGTTATTCTCTTGTGCAAGCTCTAAATATCACATTCCGTCGGTTTCAGAATATTGCTCGTGATCTTGGGGTGGAAACACTGTTGAAAACAGAAAATGGAAATACCTAAAAAAGAGCGTTTGTTACTTATCTCTATGTGAAATTATTGCCTAGAAACACATTAACGAAGAGACCGAAATTGTGAAAGTTCTGGAAACGTAACATCCATATTTGGGACATCCGGTTTATTGATTGAACTAAACAAAATATCTTGGTCCTTTCAAGTATTAATTTTTTTAAATAGTTCGACTTGGTAGACTAGAATTTAGGGCATCAAATAGAAATGGTTGGACTGATATGACATTGCAAAAAGTCTAGTGCAGGGGTAGTACCAAAAGCTATTTGTTGTGGTGGGATGGCTAGGCATTTTTACTTTCACCTCATCCACATCTCTCCAACTCCATATTGATCATACTACATAACACTAATTTTTAACAAATAGCTTTTAACACGGGCTTCGGGATGGGAAAAAATAATTAACTAACCGAAATTAATAGTTTGCCCGTATTCCTTTTACGGTAGACCATAGCGAGTAATGTAAGTTATGTTTCAGCGTCTTCTGCATTTCGGGAAGGATGTCATTTCCGAGATATCCATGACGGAGAAATAAATGGACGATGGATGGACGATATATGGGGATACCGAGCCGATATTTACGATCTGTATTTAGTTAGCAGGTAGGTTTCATTTTCTGAACGAGCAGCTGGAATTATTGTCAAACTACCTAAAATGATCAAATGTTACCCAAATAACCTTTTTTTGTAACTCATAAATCAAAAGGCCTGTTTCTTTGTGTTTCCATATTGATTAAGTTTATTTCTTCAACATGAGGATAGACAGACGGATGGAAGAACAATACACTGAAATAAAGCCTTTAAAGATCGATAGAATTGACTGCGCCATGAATATTGTCAATTCTTAGCATATCATCGTCTATTAAATAATAATCACCTATTGGTGACGCATATAAGCCTTTGATTGAAAGGAAGTGGCAGTTCCTATTGTAAAGACGATTTGGTAGGTAATCTCTGGCAATGATAACAATGTGGCGTGGTCGTTGGCAGTTGGATACTTCCCAACTTACGGTCAAATCGAGGCCAAAGAAAAGACATCAGAGGCCTGGTTTTGGATACAGAAAAGCATCAAAAACTGACAGCAGAAACAGATGCGTACCTACGCAGGACCTTAGGGTGGTGCCCGAGTGACGTTTGAAAAGACAAAGAGCAACGCTGAGGCTCGGCCGGTACGGCACTGGAAAGGGTGACGCGAAAAGAGCCTAAAGTAAAAATTTTTATGACTTCCGGAAAATAGGAGACTGCACGGAGCTTGTTCGACATAACCATACCGAAAATGGTCGTCAAAAACAGGAGCCACTTATTGGTGGAACGATAAGGAAAAAGGAAAAGGTCAACGTGTTTCATTCCTCCGACGCCCCGAGAGATACCGGAGGCGGGCTGCTGAGCAAACAACGGGAATGTAAGAATGGGTAAAGTTAAGAATGGGAAAGGAAGGAACGGAGTTAGGATAATGACACGGAAGTCTACTGCTCTAGCATTCGCATCGTAGATTTCAACATATGCGAAGCTACATACGTGATAAAACCCTCGACAGAACAGTCGGCAGCGAGATCGAACCCACAACCTCCAGAATAGTAATCGGCAACGCAACGATTGCGCCACCGGATACGATCAACGATAAAGTGGCGGTCCTTTGAACCAGATGCGTGACGGTTAGACAAGCGGTGATTAGATACGAGTGCGAGTGATGAATGACAGTAAGAATCGTATGTTGAACTCGTTGTGCAAAGTACTGGGAACGACTCGAGGAATGCTGTACAGGATCGAAATGTTGTTGGCAAAATAGATATACTGTATTTTTACCACAGTAACTCATGCAGTCCAGAAACGGACAGGCGCGACCCAGTGCAGCGCTCCTACGCCCACGGCAGAAGAGATGATCACAGCGACAAAGAAGATTTCGAAGAAGGCTACTAATCCCGCCGCTCTGCTTCCGCAATTCTTCATTAAACTTGTACAGTTGAGACCTTGGTTTTTAAGACGGCATTCAACATGATTCTTGAGCAGGACTACCAGGGCTAGAAAATGCAGTCTTGAACTCAAAAAAAGAGGCCGGGACAAGTAGAACCATTACGCTTATCAAGCATGTTCGGAAGTTTCTTGAGAGACTGCTAAGGCACAACACGGATTCCGAAAAAACCAGGGACAAGGGACCGGGACGAGTTAGGAGAATTGGTGAACTAGGACAGACGCCCTTGGAGAACGCGGTTGATGAGGGTGATGGCAACCATTAAATATCTGGACGACGACGCCGTTAACTCAACCAACGGAGCCAACGGAGGTCCGAATAGAATCGATAGAAAAAGCACCAGTGTGGCGACATCTACAATTTATAGTTAACAGTTACCTTACAGGCTGGAATATCGCAGTAAGGTCTCTATATGACAAGATCATACGCATTTAAGACTAAAAAGGGAGAGGGTTATCGTAGAACACAGTCCTCCGAAGTAAAAACAAAGTGTCTCTCGTAGTTAGACTATTAGCCCGTACTGCCATTGTTTTGGGTGGAGTGATGGTTCCATTCGATCGGGAAATTAAGTTCCTCGAATGAAGGTCTATGTAACCTCATATCTCATGCAAGAAGTAGTCCGACATGTAATTGCAGGGTAACTGGCTAACTGCTAAGGATTCTAGTGAGTTTTCGGAGGACTAAGCGAAGGGAAAAGAAGAGCACTAGCCACGCCAGTTATCAATATTGTGTGAACGAGAAATGGGGGGGGGGGGGGTAGCAGCAATAATAATAATAATTATTATTATTTTTCATTAGGTTTTCCAATAATTTACAAAAAAGAGAAGAAAACAAAACATTTGTATTGTACACCCAATGAAATAAGGATTCAAGCTCAGACAACTGACTCAAAGCCAGACGTCAAAGGACGAGAAAAATCAAAGGGGTATTTCTATACTACATAGGACAATGGATTTGAGGACTGCGGTAAAGCTATCGATGAAGGTGGATAAAATAGTGTATGCTGATATTATATGAATCGTGCTATAGGGCGAGACGAAGTGGCAAGTTATATAATGAAATTCATCACCAACGTCGCCAAGGATGCAGAATACTGTAGGTGAGAGAGAAGGGAAAACTAAGAGAGCAAACTCGCTCTATGTCGCTTCTGTTGACCGCATTCAAATTAAATTGAAAGAACCAATCAGATGCGGAACCGTAAGAGATAGCTTGCCCTCTTAGTTTTCGCTTCTTTCTCACCTGCAGTATCCATGCTCAGCATTGGCATGCGCAGTCCATTTATTTATGTCGATGATTAAACCATACGATTGTACACTGGCATCGAGTGTTCCCCTGGCCAACTTTGTAGATCTCCAGATATCGTGCAAGGGAACTCTTACAATTTACAAGAGCGCAACATTTAAAACTTTTTGCATTTTTAGGTGAATCTTATTAGTGATTACATGAAATGTATCTTGCAATTTTGAAATTTGGATTAAATACCCCAAACAACATAAAACTTCCTTTACAGAAACGTTACTTTTAAACGTTGCGTCAATCGACTGGACCATTCTGTCATTTTCATATTTCTTAATAGAGCTGAAATTTCAAATTTTCCACTTTATATAGGTACCTACCCGTACAGTCGAAATCAACAGAAGACGAGGATTCGAATGGGTGACGATCAGGACACTCACATAATAAAAAAATAAGAAAATTCCTCAAAAACTAAGAACAAAGATTTTCGACACATATGTACTGCGAGGTATCAATGGAGCACAAACATGAACTCACAAGACAAATGATAAAAGGTCCATGCTGAGCATAACACTGGAAAACAAAACAACAACGAAACAAATGGATAAAGCAAAAAAACCGGTAGGACCATAACACAATTAAAATGGGTTCATGCTGGTCACATTGCAAGAATAAAAGGCAACCGCTGGAACGGAAAAATGATAACATGGAGACCCTGGATGGAGATTAGGGGAAGAGGTGGACCAAACATGCGCTGATATGATGACGTGAAAACCGTGCAGGACTGAACTGGAAGGCATCTAACAAAGACAGAGACAGATGCAAGAAAAAGAAGGAGACCTATTCTCAATATTGGGCGCAAATATGCGTTTAAGAAGATAAGAAATAGGTATAAGTACCGCTGTCCATCTTTAATACCGCAATCGCCTTCTATAATGTTGAAGTATAGGGTTGCTGTATTGTACTTAAGAAACAGAAAATTAGAAATTTGCAATAAATTTGTAATTGTCTGAAAATAGAGGATTCTGCATTTTCTTAGGAAATATGTTCGGTTAATTCATTAAAGACAATGGCCTTATTATCACTACAGTAATTAGTAATTACTATGCCATATGTGCGTCCTTGTAGCTTGCTGAGAACAATAAATAAAGTTGATTAACATCCAAAATTAAGTAAATATAGGTAGGTACCTAAGGTGCTTATTTACACACCAGCAGAAAACGATGCACCTAAAATTATCGCTGAAATACCACACGTGCAATTATCACTATAATTCGTTCCCATTGGCGCAGCAATTTGAAATCGAGACATTTCACTGGTTGAAATGTGACAAATGTTAGATGAATTGAATAGTCATGGAAATTTTAAGAAGGCATGCACGTGTGAGGAAAGATCAAGTTTGTTATGCACCTTAAATTAACTAATGTAACAGTTTAGTTTATTTATATTCAAATTTCAAAATTACCGCTTGCTACGTTAGGCAGGATATAGGTGAGATGGCGTCACTTGTACGCGTGCTTCTTTCCTCGCGCAGAATCGCGTAATTTTTTTCACTTCATTTCCGTTTTAAAGCCAACGAGGTTGTACTTGTAGAGCGTGGCATTGTGAATTCTTCTAAAACCAGTGGGTAATATTTGCCATCATTCACGTAAAATCTCTGGCAATTTTTCCTGTTTATTGGCGTTGTCGAGTAGAGTAACTCAGAAGCCGTTTTCTCCGTTGTGAGGCTATATCTGGTGGAAGTTCATCGCCCTACCTACATGTAAGTGAAATGGCGTTGGCTTTCTTTTACGTTATGTTATCTAAAATTCTTTCAGATTCACAACCTCTTGGATAATTTCCATATTTCATTGATTTAAGTATTTTTCATTACCCTCCTGACGATTTCAGGTATGTTATTAAAAATCTCGTTAAGGGAGTGTTACATCTTCATTACTTTTAGGGGGTCCATGTAGTAGACGAATTCTTGTACCGGTCAATCCATGTAGTAGATCAATCCTTGTACAGACGAATCCTTGTATGTAAATGAATTTGCATCTTGCGAATATTCCGGAGTACGAACACCTGTTGATTGCCGGCAGCTATCCGGCGTACCACCGAGTAGATAAGCGCTAACACCTAAACGATACCGGGAGCGACCAGCTGATTGTGGAATTTTCGGAAGATACGATCTTTTACACAACCTTTTTTATTTGCTTCAATACCGTTAATCTAGTGTAACCTTCCGACGATTTATGATCGGAGCTTTGTATTTTGTTCGCATCAAGTGTTTGAGGTCGTGGCTCTCTTCAAGAGCAACGCACCTGTATTTAACATATGGGTAAACGAGCTGGCTACGAGTAAGCTATTTTTGGCCCTTCCGGCTCATATAATCGTTCCGAGCGTTGTAGCTTGGGGTTTGTTTTTTTGTGTTACAGAACTGGAACTTCGAAGGAGAGCTCTTTTTCGGAGAAGACAGCGTATGTGTTATTCAAGGTAAGATTTTTAATTTACTTGTACCCAGTGTTGCCTATATGAGTTGTTATTCGGGTTAACTTAATTCAATCTTTTAATCCATTGAAATCTTAACTACATTTTTGCTCGATCATTGTTGTAGGGGTCTGGTAACGTAATTATTAGGGAAGTGTTCATGAATTTATTTGGGGATTATTTTTTTGTCATTTAAAGTATTTGTTATTGTCGTATTGAAGATACATTTTATTTGCCGATCCTGCACCGTTTTGTCAGGATTAATAAATCAGAATTGCTCGTAGTGAATTTATTATTTGGCTCTCTTGTGTTTTCCCAATTTCTATACAGGAGAGGTCAGAATTTGTGCAAAATTGGGTGGCGCTCAACTAATCATTTCTAGTAACTACCATAGATCAAAAACTTATGTTATATGCCCAAACGAACAAACCGCTGTGGAAGATTCTCATCTCGAGCCCTTCTTTTAATTAAGAATCTGAGCTAGCTGGCCGTTTATGCGGCGGGGTTTGAGTTTTACAGCGCCGAACTAACCTCACGTTATACTAACTTTTACCAATAAGCAAATAAGATGCGGGATATGAAAAATTTGATATAAATTCTGAACCAAACATTCTTTAAAGCAAGAACAAATTGTCTGATTGAGTTACCTTTTTGGTACAAAGGGGTACAATATACAGGGTGTTACACGACCGTTCGAAAAAAAAAATCGGGTTGTAGAGGGCATCAAAACAAGCACTTTTTCCAAATAAACCGAGGGTCCAACGTGTTTCGTTTGGGAGCCACCCACCAAAGAGTGTTGAAATCTGCATTTCTTCTTTAATTTTTTTCTCAGCAACCATAAGAGTTACAAAGTCGGGTGGCATGTCTTTGAATAGGTTTTTGGGTATGCTCTTTCCGATTTTGCATTTTTTTTTTCAAAATTCCTACCCCTAAAGGGCGCACCCCTAAACTAGGGTGCAAAAAAAAATTCTGATTTCGACGAAATTTGGTATCTGGGGTTTTTTTAACATGAAAATCACGAATCTGAAATTAGTTTTTGAAAATTCGAAAAAAAAAGTTCCACTACAATTCTTGGCGGGACAACGAAAATAGAGATAATTCCACGAAATTTGTTGTGTACATACTAAACGAGTTAAGGAACAAAACTGTCGAACAGTTTTTTTAAATAACTTTTCAAACAAAAGTTATACTCATTTGAATGTTGGTCCTTCGGGTCGCGAAGTGTCCCAAGCCTACTAGTAAGCCATAATTTCGCATGTGTTGGTTGACAATGTTGCAAAAACAAAAGATTAACGGTTTGAGTCGATATTTTGTTATTTGGAATTAATTCGGTCATTAAATGATTAAAAAATTCGATGTATCGATTAAAACACATACCAAGGTATCTTAAAGCGCTGATCGATTATTTATTATCTAAATAAGGTAGGGGAAAAAGTCAAATCACTTTCCGTATGATACTTTTTCACTATGATCGAAAATTTTTGTTCGACAGTTTTGTTCCTTAACTCGTTTAGTATGTACACAACAAATTTCGTGGAATTATCTCTATTTTCGTTGTCCCGCCAAGAATTGCAGTGGAACTTTTTTTTTCGAATTTTCAAAAACTAATTTCAGATTCGTGATTTTCATGTTAAAAAACCCTCAGATACCAAATTTCATCGAAATCAGAAATTTTTTTTGCACCCTAGTTTAGGGGTGCGCCCTTTAGGGGTAGGAATTTTGAAAAAAAAATTGCAAAATCGGAAAGAGCATACCCAAAAACCTATTCAAAGACATGCCACCCGACTTTGTAACTCTTATGGTTGCTGAGAAAAAAATTAAAGAAGAAATGCAGATTTCACCACTCTTTGGGGGGTGGCTCCCAAACGAAACACGTTGGACCCTCGGTTTATTTGGAAAAAGTGCTTGTTTTGATGCCCTCTACAACCCGATTTTTTTTTTTTCGAACGGTCGTGTAACACCCTGTATTGGCACAAACGTCGAAACGAAATGGAGGCATATCATTTATAATTTATTTTTATTCTTGTGTTAATGAGGGATGTACGATTTCAACGGGTCAACTACTGACAAGTTAATAGGTTCTTTTTAACCTTTCAACACAATTTCTTCTAATAAAAGCTTTTTGATACAATTGTACAATTTAATTGACCAATTGTAATTAACTTTCACACTTTTAGAAACGTGGGAGAGACCAGAAGCAATGGGGGCTGCTACTGCTCATTGTGACGTCATAGCCCTCCCTAAAATCCTGACATACGCACATGATGGAGGTACAGAAGCTGTCAAGAGATTATGTTTCGCCGCCTTTTTCATCATGGCCGTTATGGTTCCATTGAATATTATACAAAAGAGATTTGTTCCTCTTGTAAACAATACCTACCTACCTACTAAACATGAATGGAGAAGTATTTTCTTATAGGGTTGGGTAAGTAACGTTTAGCAAGGTACCTACTACCTCTATTTATATCTTTTTAAATTTGCAGGAACACGCTTACTACCCTACTTCTTGCAGAACACCTGCTCATCAGTATTGGAGACGTTCAAGATCAACAATCTAGACTCGTTTAACTTACTGTACTTTTTTATTGTATAGTTAGGTAGTTGCATAACAGTAGCTAGATATACATACCTACTGTCGGTATTGATTTTTTAATACCACCCAAAATGTTACTGTATCTAGTTATAACACTATATTCTATCTTTTGAAACTTAATGCAATAATGGCTCGTCCGGTTTTAGGCTAGGACAACGAACATTGCAACTTACCAAATCACAATTTGTATATAATAACATAATTAATTAGTAGTGGTGGTATCAATTTGCAAATTATGTACCTACTGTGACGTGGTATCTAAAGGGCGTCATACACATTAAGTTTAAGGGAAACATACCTAATCTATATAACATTCTAGAACCTACAAAATGGCGGAAAGTACGGGGTGACCAAATGAGAATGATGTGGCCCTCAAATTACCATAGCGGGTCGTAAATCTTTGGAGTGAAACATTTTTTTAAATAAAAGGGAGTAAAACGAGCATGCTTGAAATTTTACGGCAACCACTAAGGAGCGGCACACGAATTCTAAAACAGGGAAAACCGAGGGGAAAATGCTCCTACGTATTTTTTTGTTAAACTTTTAAAACTTTTTAAATTGTAGTCACAAAAAATTCTGCCAAATTTTTCCTACTTCATAGATTTCCAAAAACTTACCAGATATCGTTTAACAGTCAATACACCGGTGTTTCCAAGAGCGTGACTAGAGTATTAATTTAGATACGGTATCGCGGTTTAGAGTGATTTTTGACTGTTTCTCCAAAAAATTTAAATGGAACTTTTTTTATTTTTACCTATACAGTGCGTTCAAGATAAGAGAGTAATCTCAAGATCTCTTTTATTTGGCAAGATACGAAAAATGTGTCATTTATAATTGTATATGTAACTTTACGATCTATCTGATCGAATATTCAAACTTCCGGTAGCACTTTCGGCTTAACCGGAAAAAAGCGGAAATTGATGCAACTTTTGTTTTTCAAATGCAATACCTATGGTTTTTACGATATTTGAAAAGAGCAATCAATTCTCAAATTGTCAAAAATGAAGAAACTGGTGAATCAATATTTAGAAAATTTATGAAAAGCAAAAGCATCAATTTCTGGTTAAACCCAAAGTAATGCAGAAAGTTTGAAAATGCGATCAGATAGTTCGTTACGTTACATATAAAATTATATTAGACACATTTTTTGTATCTCGCCAAATAAAAGAGATGCCTATTGAAGTGATCCTCTTATCTTGAACGCACTGTATAGCATTAGAAAGTATAAAGATGCCTACATCCATGAGACACTTTCTGACAAGAGAAGGACAATAAATAAATAAATGAATAAAGACCTAATCAAATAGCCGTTTCTTGACATTCTTTAATCTGCACTTGTTGAATCGCGAAAACAAAGTAATCTGGAAACAAAATGCTGTCAAACAGTATCGTAGTTGATAGTTGAATATTGATTACAACAGATTAATGCTTCATAAGTCATATAAATTGGTTTTACTGGAAGGATGGTAGAGGAAACTTTGTAGCACTCATCCTAGGAACAACCCTTAGGCTACATTTTATATGCCTTAAAAGTAGACTTTTAAACCAATCAAAACTCATAGTTGGTAGGTTTCCTCATAAAATTTTTTGAGAAAGCTTAACAATTTCAATGTTTTCATACAACTAAATATTGAACATTTTATATTCAAAGCTATAGATACTCTAGCTGAAAAAATGAATTACAACAATTGTTTAAACTATACCTACCTTTTCAACTTCAATTTGGGACGACGAAACAAAAACCAATTTGAATTTCTGTAAAGGAAGCGTTCCCGCAAACGTAACATACTGTTCCATTTAAATTTTTTGAGAAACGGGTCATAATCTATAGGTACACTACACCGAAGCGCCATCTAACGGAAATCAATAACCCTGATCGGATAATTCCGACGTGCTTGCGGTATCCAGTGTACACTCAAGTTCTTAAAAATCTAGCACAATATTGATATTCAAGTTTAATTTTACCTCCTCTTATTATTATTTCCTTTACGATAGGTATAGCTGTAGTTAACCACACGTATATGCTTCCATCATTTGATATTTTAACAAAAACCTCGTTATCTGTTTTGAAGTGTTTAGCGATGTATGAAACCAGTTCCTAGCATTTCTCTCTTGCGTGCATTTAGTATATGGACGAATTGTAAATATTAGATGAGATTAACTGATTTATTACTCCCTGATGGCCATTTGGCCACAAATATAGAGTGTATAATTTTCATGTATAACTTAATTCAATTAACGATACTTTGGTAATTACGAGTATAAACATGCAAGTTTGAATTGAGCGTTAATTTTATAGCAACGTCCAAAATGGAGCGTTCACGAAAGCTCCTTTAATATACTGTAGACTGCACTGGTACCTAAAGTTGACTGGGCTCCGATCCATCTAAAAAAAATTCTAATCTTGAGACCCACGCACAAAAATATTAAAATACCTACTATACCTAGGTGCTATAAAGTTTGTTAGCGTTATCTAGAAAACACCGGGTGGAGATCGGCTTACTAGTTTCTCCTTTTTTTTCATTAACATAGGTATGTAATATTATGTGCGATGCCACGCAAATAGTCATGCATGTTATATTGATGTCAACGTTTTCAGCAAGCTGTTTGTTTCTGTGAGCACACTCTCTGTGGTTTTTACGAGTAGGTACTAGCTCGGGTACTAGTTGATTTTTGCACGCCTGCATATTGTACGATTCGCAATTGGTCCTTGTCCCCTATGGATTGCTCCAATAAATTTCCAGATATTCGGATGGTCTACAGAAATCTTTGGCAACCTCTTACTAAATTGTTGGTTTTTGGCAAAACATTCTTAAAATATATAAAAATCGAGGGTTTAAGCGATGGTGGCGTCATTGTGGACTCCCTATATCCACGTATACCTACCTTCGAAATAATAGACAATTGGTTGTAGGTATCTCTGGTGCCAGAATTTCGTGATCGCATAACATTTCAAAAGCTTCGACTACGTATTGCATAGGAACAAAATGCGGTCGCAAAAGAAAATCTAACTTGCAAAGCAAAATCTGCATCTGTTTCGTATCTTGCATGGTAAACAATTGGCAACAAAGATGGGACACAGTCACAGTTTTAAACGTACCGTCGACATACCAATGATTCGAATTCAGCTCGTACTAAATATTAACAGAAACGGATAAGATTAATAGGTCAGCCAATTGGAAACTTCGAGTTTTCTAACATTAAAGAAAGTGGTCCCACCAAGAATGTTTAGTTCTCTTTGGTTTTAGGTTTAGTTCATGTAGCCCCACCCCATTAGCGACAAACCATTACTATCACAATTGCGGAGATGTACATTAATATTGTAACGGAAATGCTCCAGAATTCTCTGGAATTTTCTACGCGTATTCGAGAATGTACTGGACTTACATTGCTTGCGTGTATAAATGGTTGCGGACCGAACATCGCGGCAGTCTACTACGGAACGAGTACGTATGAAACATCGAGCGCGAAAATCTGAAATAAATTGCGAAGTGTGAGTGATATAAATAATCGATATAAATTGTACGGATTTTATAGTGTTTTAGTTTTGTTTAATAAATATTGATATAAATCGAACCCGAATTTATAAATAACGTTACATTGGTGTCAGGTGTGGAATTAATTAAATTAATTAAAACTAAAATGGAAGAAACGATGCTCAATTTGCTCCAGCAAATCCAAAATGGTCAACAGGTGTTGCAACGAGAAAATAAAGAAAATTCTAGAAATATTCAAGAGAAGTTCGAGAAGTTGGAAGAAAATTCTAGAAAGATTAATGAAGAAAATTCTAGAAATTTTGAAGAGAAGTTCGAGAAAATGGAAGAAAATTCTAGAAAGATTAATGAAGAAAATTCTAGAAATATTCAAGAGAAGTTCGAGAAGTTGGAAGAAAATTCTAGAAATGTTGAAGAAAAAGTTGAAGATAGAATTACGGAAGTTTCCAAAACATTTAAAGCAACATTCGTTGAGATTGAGCACAAGTATGAAGAGCTGCGCGAGCAATTCTTGCGACTGACTACGGAAGAGCGTACTAGTAGTGTCCCAGTTGAATTACTGATGGACCGTCTTTTTGAGGTGCCACAGTCTACTCATTACAAGAAGGTCGACCCAGAAACAAATACAAGAGTAGAAGGCGACGTTCAGCAAGCCCGAGTAAAGCCACCTACTTTTGATGGTAAGATTCCTTGGACCACGTAAGTTCGACAGTTTGAAGCAGCGGCTGCGGCAAATAAATGGACTCTTCAAGACAAAACTACAGCCCTGATTCTTGCTCTGAGAGGAGATGCTCTGGATGTGTTGAGGACCATCCCCGAGGATCAACAGAACTTCCAACAAATAGTAGCGCGACTCGAAATGCGATATGGCGATAGACACCTTCAGCAAGTTTACTATGCCCAAGTCAAGAACCGAATGCAGAAACCTGGAGAAAGTTTGCAGGAACTTGAAGCGGACATCGCTAGACTGATTCGATTGGCATACCCTACGGCACCGGAGAGCTTTCTTGATCAACTGACTGTACAAACATTTATCGATGCCGTTCGTGATGGAGATGCCCAGCAGGCTTTGAGACTGGCTAGGCACGACAAAATTGAGAAAGCTTTGGCCCATGCGTTAGAATTCGAAGCCGCCAAGAAAGCTAGTCATGGAAGTGCGCGAGTACGTATGGTGGAACCTCGCAGTGACAGCCGGGTAAGAACCATCGAAGAGGAAGGTGGTTCTGAAAGTTTTGAAGAAAAGGTCAGTAAAGTAGTGGAAGAAACGGTCAGTAAAGTAGTGGAAGAAAAGATCAATAAAGCAATACAGTCACTGGCAAAGAAACGTGAACCACGGCGAGATTGGACACGTTCGCCGCAACTGCCAAAAACCATTGCAGCAGCCGGAAAACTAAGAAAGGTCGACAGGAAGGGGCTATCGTCGACCTGCAGAAACAAAGCCCCGGTCTGCACTGTAAACATTACGTCGTCTGGAAAAGTTCACAATAATGCAGACGCTTTGTCAAGAAGACCGTGCAAGGACAACTGCACACATTGTTCTAAAATAGAAGACAAGATTGGCCATCTCCGACGAACAACTGTAGAGAGTGAGGAATGGAAGCCAAGCGAAATCAAAACGGCTCAAGAAAACGACCCAAGTATAAAAACTGTTCTGAATTGGATGCGCCACGGACAAAGACCAGACTGGCAAGACATTAGTGCCACAAGTCCTGAAGTAAACAGTTATTGGGGCCAATGGAATAGCCTGACTCTGAAAGACAACCTGTTGTATAGGACCCTTGAAAGTGAAGATGGCACCGAATCGACGCTGCAATTAGTAGTACCTAGAAGCAAAATGTCGGAAGTATTGCGAAAATTGCATGACGGCGCTTCCGGAGGACACTTTGGTATTACGAAAACGTTGCAAAGGGTACGTGAGCGATTCTATTGGGTCAACAGTAAAGAAGATGTCCGGCGATGGTGTCAAAAATGTGAGTTATGTGCTACTGGAAACGGACCAGTTTCCAAGAAGAAGGCACCCATGAGGCAGTGTAACGTTGGTAGTCCGATGGAACGAGTTGCTATCGATATCGCAGGACCGTTTCCCGAGACAGATGGCGGAAATAAATATATCCTAGTCGCTATGGATTATTTCACAAAGTGGACTGAAGCTTACGCCATTCCAAACCAAGAAGCAGCAACAGTTGCAGAAGTGTTGGTAAAGGAGTTCTTTACACGTTTTGGTGTTCCTATAGAAATCCATTCAGACCAAGGAAGGAACTTTGTATCGGCTTTGTTCCAAGATGTTTGTCGATTGGTAGGAGCCAATAAAACCAGAACAACACCTTTGCATCCTCAGTCAGATGGAATGGTTGAGAGAATGAATCGAACGATGGGTAAATATCTTTCAAAAGTCGTGGCAGAAAATCAGAAAAATTGGGACCAGTACCTCCACCTGTTCCTTATGGCATATCGATCAGCCGTCAACGAGACCACGGGTCAGACTCCTGCCTGCCTTATGTTGGGTCGTGAGCTACGCCTTCCATGTGATCTCGAGTTTGGGCGTAAACCCCATGAAGAATATGTCGCAGGTGAAAATTATGTTGACCAACTAAAGGCGAAGATGAATGACATTCACGACTTGGCTAGAAGTCATATTCAGATTGCCAGCGATCGCATGAAAAATCAATACAACCTCCGCTCGGCCAATGAAACTTTTGAAGCTGGAGATCTGGTATGGCTGCACAATCCACAGAGACGAAGGGGTCTTTCTCCCAAGCTACAAAGACAATGGGAAGGTCCGTATGAGGTGATCAAGAAAATAATGACGTGATATATCGTATCAGAATGAACCACCGAAAACCGAAAGTTGTCCACATTAATCGACTCGCACGATATGCCGGATCCAACAACCACGAAGAAGTTAGAGGTATTCGAGAAGAGGAACGCAGCTTTGGGATCGAGCCAAACTTTAACGATTTTATGTCAAATTACGCCCAGCGGAAGAAAGCTCGATTTGGCGTTACTCAGGAAATTTGTCAAAATATTTTTGAGCTTCCGGTTAACGTTTCCATCGCCCATTGTGTCGCCGAAGACCTTCGCATGGGTAGAGGTATAGCTTCCGTATTCCGGAAAAAATTTGGAAGAATAGACGAGTTGATAAAGCAAAGACCACGAGTGGGTAAAGTACTGCGCTTGGAAGATAGTCAACGCTCTTTGTTCTACTTGGTTTCAAAGAAAACGTCAGAAGGCAAACCCACCTATGAAAACCTTTGGTCTGCTTTAAAAAAACTTGAAGAAACTCATGGCATACTATGACATAAATAGCTTGGCGATCCCGAAGATTGGATGTGGTTTAGATGGGTTGGACTGGAAGATAGTGCGAACCATGATCGAAGTGATTTTTAGAAACACTAGCGTTCGAATTACAGTATGCTGCTTCAACCCACAGGGGACGACCCTTCGCAAAACTGTGGACTGTTACTTTTTCAAGAAAGGTGTTTGTCGAGCAGGCTCTGACTGCAGATTCCGACACGAGGCATTAAAAAGTAATACTAACGCAGTTTCTGAACGAGACGTCCAGAATTAAGAAGGGGGCAGTGTAACGGAAATGCTCCAGACATGACGTCGCCTTTGGCGCTCTGGAATTTTCTACGCGCGCGATTATTGGAGAATGTACTAGACTTACATTGCTTGCGTGTATAAATGGTTGCGGACCGAACATCGCGGCAGTTAGTCTACTATCGAACGAGATCGAGTACGGACGAAACATAGAGCGCGAAAATCTGATATAAATTTCGAAGTGTGAGTGATATAAATAATCGATATAAATTGTACGGATTTTATAGTGTTTTAGTTTTGTTTAATAAATATTGATATAAATCGAACCCGAATTTATAAATAACGTTACAATATATTGTAGCTTTCTTTCTTCTTGCAGAATACCAGTGCCGTGCCTGTCTTTAATTTTTCTTTAAAATTATACACCAACTTCAAAAGATTCACAATATACGAAATTAATTTGTTTCGATAAATTTACCATTTGGTCAATTGTCATTGGACAAATTGCTTAGTCGGTAAATTGTTTTATGATAAATTGACCGTTAACAAGTTATCGTGTACCAATGAGAATTAACGGTTTTCGATTTTCTAAAGAAAGTATTTGTCTTCCTACACTACGAAACTGTTTAATATTCATAGGATTAGGGTCAGTTGAAAAGATCCGTTGATCTTTTGACGGTGCAAATAAAAAATTATCTTCGTGTCTATCACTAAGATTTGTTGAAGGCTACCACATTCCCTTTGACGATACCCACCTCCGACGTCCTGTTCACCCACA